GCTTAAGAAAGATCTTGATTTGGTTTGTACACCGTGTCGTAATGCTAAGATGGTAGCTACTTCACATGCTCCTATTGTTTCTGTGATGACGGATGCACCAGGACAGCTATTACACATGGACACTGTTGGTCCAGCTAGAGTGCAATCTGTTGGAGGAAAGTGGTATCTGTTGGTTATTGTTGACGGTTTTTCTCGATATTCTTGGGTTTTCTTTACGGCAACTAAGGACGAAGCTTTTCAACACTTTCGTGGTTTGTTTCTTAGATTGGAGCTTGAAATTTCTGGTTCTTTGAAAAGAATTCGAAGTGATAATGGTGGTGAATTTAAAAATGCTTCATTTGAACAATTTTGCAACGAAAGAGGTCTTAAACATGAATTTTCTTCTCCTCATGTTCCTCAACAAAACGGTGTTGTTGAAAGGAAAAATCGTGTTTTGGTTGAGATGGCTAGAACGATGTTGGATGAATATAAAACTCCTAGAAAATTTTGGGCTGAGGCAATTAACACTGCTTGTTATATTTCAAATCAAGTTTTCTTGAGATCTAAACTTGGAAAAACTTCTTATGAACTTCGATTTGGGCATCAACCCAAAGTTTCACATTTGCGTGTTTTTGGTTGTAACTGCTTTGTCTTGAAATCTGGAAATTTGTATAAGTTTGAGGCATGTTCTACCGATGGATTGTTTCTTGGTTACCCCGCACATACTCGTGGCTATCGTGTACTTATTTTGGGGACTAACAAAATTGTGGAGACTTCCAAAGTTTCTTTTGATGAGGCTAGTCCAGGTACTAGACCCGATATTTCAGGTACACTATCACAAGTTCAGGGGGAGGATGGTCGTATTTTTGAAGACGAGAGCGACGACGACTACAACGACGAGGTCGGCTCAGCCGGTCAGACCAAGCGCCAGGCCGGTCAGACCGCCAGCACACCTCCGGTCAGACCGGCCCATGAGGAGCGGTCAGACCGGCCAGGGTCATCGGCTGAGGGTTCTGTTGATGCTGATCGAGATGGTCCTCCGGAAATTACTACTTCGACCAGTACTGATACAGAACGTGGATCAACTTCAGAAGTCAATGCTCCTTTGCACATTCAACGACGACATCTGCCGGAACAAATTATTGGTAATATATGTGAGCGGACTACAAGGTCTAAGGTAACGACTCATGATGTTTGTGCAAATTCAGCATTTGTTGCTTCTTTTGAACCCAAAGATGTGTCACATGCATTAACTGATGAATCGTGGATTAACGCCATGCATGAAGAACTTGAAAATTTTGAGAGAAACAAAGTTTGGACTTTAGTTGAACCACCTTCTAGACATAATATTACTGGAACCAAGTGGGTTTTCAAAAATAAACAAAATGAGGATGGTTTGATTGTGAGAAATAAAGCTAGACTTGTTGCTCAAGGTTTTACTCAAGTTGAGGGTTTGGATTTTGATGAAACTTTTGCTCCTGTTGCTAGAATTGAGACAATTAGACTTTTGTTGGCTTTTGCTGCTTCAAAAGGTTTTAAATTGTATCAAATGATGTGAAAAGTGCTTTTCTAAATGGTTTTATACAGGAGGAAGTTTATGTCAAACAACCACCAGGTTTTGAAAATCCTGATTTTCCCAACCATGTTTTTAAATTGTCTAAAGCTTTGTTTGGTTTGAAACAAGCTCCTAAGGCATGGTATGATAGGCTTAAGAACTTTTTGCTTGCGAAAGGTTTTACAATGGGAAAGGTTGACAAAACGCTTTTTGTTCTTAAGCATGGTGTTAATCAACTTTTCGTTCAGATTTATGTGGATGATATTATCTTTTGTTATTCGACTCATGCTTTGGTTGTAGATTTTGCTGAGACTATGCGCAGGGAATTTGAGATGAGAATGATGGGTGAGTTATCGTACTTTTTGGGATTGCAAATTAAGAAAACACCTCAAGGTACTTTTGTGCATCAAACGAAGTATACGAAGGATCTTTTGAGACGGTTCAAGATGGAGAATTGCAAGCCAATTTCAACACCAATTGGTTCTACAGCTGTGTTAGATCCTGATGAAGATGGTGAAGCTGTTGATCAAAAGGAATATAGAAGTATGATTGGATCTTTGTTGTATCTAACTGCTTCTAGGCCAGACATACAATTTGTTGTGTGTTTGTGTGCGCGCTTTCAAGCTTCTCCTCGTGCTTCACATCGTCAAGCGGTCAAGCGAATAATGAGGTATTTGAATCATACACTTGAGTTTGGAATTTGGTATTCTACTTCATCTTCTATATGCTTAAGTGGATATTCCGATGCTGATTTTGGAGGTTGTAGAATTGATAGGAAAAGTACTAATGGAACATGTCATTTTCTTGGTATGTCATTGATTGCCTGGTCTTCTAGGAAACAATCTAGTGTTGCGCAATCAACTGCAGAATCTGAATATGTTGCTGCTGCTAGTTGTTGTTCACAGATTCTTTGGCTTTTATCTACTTTGAAAGATTATGGTCTTACTTTTGAGAAAGTACCTCTCTTTTGTAATAATACTAGTGCTATTAACATTGCTAAGAATCCTGTTAAACATTCACGCACAAAGCACATTGATATTCGTTTTCACTTTTTGAGGGATCATGTTGAGAAAGGAGATGTTGAATTGCAGTTTTTGGACACCAAGTTGCAAATTGCTGATATTTTCACTAAACCTTTGGATTCTAATCGCTTTGCTTTTCTTCGTGGTGAATTGGGCATAATTCATCCTTTTGGCATGGTTTGAGGGGGAGTTTGTATCTCATGGTTTTTATCAAGCAATAATATGACAATGAGAAAAATTGTGAAAAGAGAGCTTTGTTTATACATATGGTATTTTCTTGTGCATGCTAGCAATACTTTGAAGGTTTATTTGTCTCTAGCATAGCTTGTATGTATTCTGATCTTTACATGAGATTTAGATTTTGCTTTTAAGGGAGATGATGCATGACACTTAAATTCTATACTTGAATTAAGAAAATATGCAATGTTGATGCTAGCATATGGTTTGATTTGTAAATGCTCTATATATATGCTTTATTGACTTGTTATTCCTCAAATAGCTTTAATTGCTCATTGTGAAAAAGAGAATAAAAATATGAAAAAAATGAATACCGAATCCTTGGAAACAGTCTTGACGACAAGGACGTATTCGATGTGAGCAAAATAATGGGTGCCAAATCCCTAGAAACAATCTTGACGACAGGGACGTACCCGGAATAAAAGAGAAAAATATGAGCACAAAGGCTCAAGAAAAGAAAAGGTTATAAAAAAAATTCTCTTGGTTATTTTGTGCTAAAGTTTATTTGAGAAAGAGTGATAAATGCAATAGGTATATGTGTTTAGTGTTTATTCTTCAACCTATGTGCTTGTTAAGATGTTGCATTCTAAATCGTATGAAATCATGAATTTTGATTGTTGATTCAAACTTAATTGTAAAATCTTTGGTTCATGGTTATACTTTAATGCATGCTTCTTTTGTTATAGATGGGTTCATCTTCTTTTTATTGCAACACATGACTTGATATGCTATATGTATGCTAAGCTCTTGAACATTAATGAACATAATTCCTATGCTTGATGAAATCATTGTCAAAATGGGGAGAAGTAATGTGAAAATTTTTGGATTTTTGGAGAAGCAAGGTGAATTTTTGGAAAGTTGTTGAGTAGAGCATGTTTTTGGTTCAATTGGGAATTTCTTTCTTTTAAAAAGGGGGGGAAGTTTTCTTTTGGATTTTTCGAACACTTGTACGAAGTGTGCTTTTTACCACTTTTGTTTTTATTTTTCCCAACACCAAAACATTTTTTATGAGTTTGCCAATGTGTTCATCAAGGGGGAGATTGTAAAATCAAAGGTGTTTTTGATTATTATTTTGTGATGAACAATTAGGCATTGGAGATTATTGGTTTTGTTATTTAGAATTTATTCACGAAGTGGTTTTGGAGATGATTGGGTTTCACAGGTGAATCTACAGGTTATCATTTTATGTGGTCCGGTCAGACTGGGCTCTGGTAGCCAGTCAGACCGGCGCAGCCCGCGGTCCGACCGGCCGACACTGTGTCGGTTTCGGTTTCGGGTTGTTTATTTGGATATCCGAGTTTATTTCATGATTATGGTTTCTAGATGGATACTACACGTATGAAATACTATTGTTTGCTGCTAATGAGTCAAGTTGGAGATAGCTTGGTCTCGGAATATGGTTTCTTTGTTTGTTCCATGTGTAGGTAACTCGATGTCTCGGGAGAGTATTTGCGGTGATGGACCGGGAGTCGGCTTGGGGATAAGACGACGTCCGTGGTGGTCAGAGATCATGCGGGATACTTAGGCTAGAGTTGATGCACGTAGTTGATGGAGATTCCATATGGCATACAATGAAGTTATTGTGTGCGTATGGGATTAGGAGTCAAATTTGGAAGGAGTCCAAATTTGGTACGTTTGGTTATGTAAAGTTTCTTTCTTGTACTAAAGGGTTTCCTAAGGTGTTTAGAACTCCTAGTATGAGTTTGGTTCATGGCTTTATGCTGCCTACCTCATGTATAAATAGAGAGGGAGCGTGAGGCTTCCCGGTATCGCTTTTCAGAGCAATAGAGTTGAGTTTTGAGTTAGGGTTTCAAGTTTAGTCGAAATTTTTGTAAGGAGCGCTGTTGGTACACTTTGTAAACACAGAGAGAATCAATAAAGTCGTCATCCACTTTAAGAGTTCTTCGATTTGTGTTTCACCGGGTTTCGGCGGTCTTACCGGCAACTCACCGGCGGTCAGACCGGCGGCATAGCGGCGGTCAGACTGGTGGGAGCACAGCGGTCAGACCGGCGGCGGCGACAGGCGCGACAGGCGATCTCGGCGGTCAGACCGGAGATTCAACATCGGTCAGACCGGCGGCATCCACTCGGTCAGACCGGTAGATCAATCTCGGTCAGACCGCGATCCGTCGATTTCGAGGGTAACTTTTATTTCCGCTAAAAGTTTTCGGTTTTTGGGTATACCAACCATTCACCCCCCCTCTGGTTGGCTTAGTTCTTGTGATTCGATCCTACAGATTTATCTTGCATCAGAATGAGCTGTCCATTAGACCACAGAATGTAAGAAAATATTGTATCAGTGTGCTTGGCCACAACTGGGTCATTCAAGAGGGAATGGGTCAGGTCTGGACGGAAGTAGTAGAGAAATCCCACAAAAATTATCTTCACTGGTTTTTTTTGTGAGATTCATTGATTTATCACTGACATTATATATGCATGTGTTAATTCTTCTGTCTATAATGTTACATCTTCCATGAAATCCATAGAAACCATTTATTTATCCCTCAATCCAGTGGAATTGGCATCTGGTGATGCGTGAAAGGTGGAGCAATGTGGCTCAGGAGGGACGTGGAAATATATTGAAGAAAGGTATTGCACATATGGCTGTATTATTGTTAAGGGATCATGAGTTCAAAAGCGACATTACTATTTATTATGTTTCCATGTGAATCAGGGAATGGGGTTAAGGATAATCGTATATACCTTTCTCCACTCTCCATATACAAAATTAACAAATTACAAGCATATAACCAGCTCGATATATATTGGACAGAAGGCACTGTGCTCATGAGGACGATGATCTGCTTTGTGTGATGGCCCAAGAGAAACTTTACTGGATCTGTTCTTTTCGTGTCCGTTTAGCAGGAGCTGCTGGGATCGTCTTCGAATTAGATGGAATTCAAATTTGGGAATTTATCAAATGTTGGTACTGGCAAAGATTGCAGTTTAGAAGGAAGGGTTTCCTTGAGATCGTGTCCTTTGCTTGCTATTGTTGGTAAATTGTAAGATCAAAGTGTGTTTTGATTCTTATTCTGTGATGAACAATTGGCGTCTGTGATTATTGGTTTTGATATTTGGAGATTATCGTCGAACTGGTTTTGAAGATAATCAATTTTCAGGTGATGAACAGGGTTTGCTGTTTTGTCGGGACCGGTCAGACCGGGCGGAGGTTGCCGGTCAGACCGGCGCTATGTGTGCGGTCAGACCGGCCAGGCCCGCGGTCTGACCGGCCGACGCTGTGTCGGTTTCGGTTTCGGGTAGTTTCTTTGGATATCCATGATTGTTTCATGGTTATGGCTTCTAGATGGATACTATACGTATGTAATACTGTTGTTTGCTAACAATGAGTTAAGTTGGGGATAGCTTGGTCTCGGAATATGGTTTCTTTATTTGTTTCATGTGTAGGTGACTCGATGCCTCGGGAGAGTATTTGCGGTGATGGACCGGGAGTCGGCTTGGTGGTAAGACGATGTCCGTGGTGGTCAGATATCATGCGGGATACTAAGGCTAGAGTTGATGCACGTGGTTGATGGAGATTCCATATCGCATACGATGAAGTTATTGTGTGCGTATGGGATGCGGAGTCAAATTTGGAAGGAGTCCAAATTTGGTACGATTGGTTATGTAAAGTTTCTTTCTTGTACTAGAGGGTTTCCTAAAGTGTTTAGGACTCTTAGTATGAGTTTGGTTCGTGGCTTTAGGCTGCCTACCTCATGTATAAATAGAGGGGGAGCGTGAGGCTTCCCGGTATCGCTTTGTATCGCTTTTGTATAGCTTTTGAGAGCTAGTTTAGTTAGGGTTTCGAGTTTAGTCGAGATTTTTGTAAGGAGTGCTATTGGCGCACTTTGTAAACACAGATAGAAGCAATAAAGTTGTAATCTACTTTGAGAGTTCTTCGATTTGTGTTTCACCGGGTTTCGGCAGTCTAACCGGCATCTCAGCGGCGGTCAGACCGGCGGCATCGCAGCGGTCCGACCGGCGGCGTAAGGGCGGTCAGACTGACGGCGGCAACAGCAAGCGGGAGCTGATCAGGCGGTCAGACCGGAGTTCCAATCTCGGTCAGACCAGTGGCTTTCAGACGGTCAGACCGGCACGACTACCTCGGTCAGACCGCGATCCATCGAATTCGAGGGTAACTTTTATTTCCGCTAAAAGTTTTGGTTTTTGGGTATATCAACCATTCACCCCCCTTCTGGTTGGCTTAGTTCTTGTGATTCGATCCTACAGTAAAGGCATATATGGAGGCAAAGAAATACGAAGGTTTTTGATAATGTGCTACCAAGTGAAGATAGTTGATTTGTTGCTTTTAAAAATGAGATTCTCTTACATGTTTGTGGGATGAATGAAGTCCTTAGCTCTTCTGTCCTCAGCTGGTTACAACTTCTTGTAATTTAAGGCTTTCTTTCTTTGTTCTCCTGTACAATGTTGTAAATACTCTTTCTTTTGATATATAACTTCTAGGCTAGGCCTGGTAGTATTTTAAATAAAAAAGAACCTTCAAAATAATATTAACCCCCATTAGTAGATCTGACTTAATGATGAGACCATGCATTTTTATAGACAGGATGCAACCCTTTCTCAATCAAGTACGGCCAAAGTAACGTGCTTTATTCATGAGAGGATGCATTTTTATAGACATAATGCAACCCTTTATCAATCAAGAACGCCAGAACAAATCATCTTCAAATTAATCTCGTCGCGCCACCGGGCAGCCATTCTGTCCCATCGCTGCACCAACGACAAAAATATCCGTGGCCATTCAACTTGTCACCGATGGCCTATCGATCTGCCGCGTCGAATTGGCTGAGAAGGGAAGGATTCGTCGACTTTTTTGTGCCCGAGTTCCATTGAACGTCCTGGAATGGAGGTGATTTGGATGGGTATCTGGGAGCTGCAGATCGCTGCTATTAGGGGTGGCGGATGGAGTTTATGTGTGTAGTGACGAAATTGCTAATGCGCAACCACTCCCCCCCCCCCCCGGTGGACACGTGGCGCGTGCAGAGAGGGCCCCGCGGAGAGGTGAGGGGCTGACACGTCGCTGGATTTTCCTTTTTTTTTTGTTTTCTCTTTTCCCTTTTTTGCGGTTTTCTGTTTCGTTTTTTTCTTTCTGGTTTTTTACACTTCGGGTACGTATACAAAGTTTGTATACGTGTATAAAACTTTATATACATGTATTTTTTTTGTTTTTAAATGTACATATACCAATTTTATACATATATACAAAGTTTGTATACACATATATAAAGTTTGTATACGTGTATACAAAGTTTGTATACGCGTATGTAAAGTTTGTATACGCATATATATACATATGTAGACTAGTAATAGTAATACATACTACTAGTAGTAGTAGTACTAGTACTAGTAGTAGTACTAGTACTACTAGTAGTAGTACTGTAGCTGAGGCGCCGCGCGCACCGGGGGACGCGCGACTGGTCGCGCATTAGCGGCCACCGTGTAGTGATTTGGGCTCCTCATGTGCTTCTTTCACAATTGTTGTATTAGAGCAGGTACAATAGCAAGCTATAAGCCTGATATAACCACATATCGAGAAGAAAAGAAAAGAGAGATAAGAAAACGGACTACAGATTTATAGTCGGCTGCAACATGGACTCTAAGACGTTATGTGTGTATGAGAGGTGGGACCGTGTATTAATGGTGTAGTATATTTTTATAGGTAACTATTGTATTAATGGACTATTAGATTAGCTATAGATGATTTGGAGCTAGCAGTTGGCTATGCTATTGAACTTGCTCTTAAGAGCAGGTATAATAGCAGACTATAAGCCAGCTATAAACACATATCGAGGAGATAAAAGAGGAGAGAGAAGAGCAGCGGGCTACAGATTTGTAGCTAGCTACAGCACGGACTCCAAGAGATAATGTGTGTATGACAGGTGAGACCATATATTAATAGTGTAGTATATGTTTATAAGTAAATATTATATGAATTGGCTATTAAGTTGACTATAGGTGATTTGGAACTAGTAGTTAGCTATACTACTAAACTTGCTCTAAGAGCGAGTACAATAGCAGGCTACAAGTCAGCTGTAAGCACACGTGGAGGAGAGAAGAGAAGAGAAGAGAGAGAAGGAAAGGGGGCTATAGATTTGTAGCCAGCTGCAGCACGGACTCCAATACGTTATGTGTGTATGAGAGGTGGGACCATATATTAATAATTTATATATAACTATTGTATAAATGAGCTATTAGATTGGCTATAGATGAATTAGAGTTAGTACTTGGCTATACTATTAAACTTGCTCTAGGTAGTTTCCGCCGTGATTATCGAAGGGGCAGCTCTTTGCCTTCTCAACGCATGGAGTGATCTGGAAAGTTCACACGGCCTTCTGGGTTTTAGGAAATATTTCTGCTCGCGCGACCATGAATGGAATGATGCTCCATCCTCTCTACCACATGGCAGATTTTCAGATGAGTACACTTGATTTCTAGGATGCCACGTGGGCCAATCAGGTACCAGGGATGGTACCCTGAAATCGGTATTTGAGAAGCTCTACACACGGTGCCATGTGCCCCAATCAAAAATCGGGGTTTAAACCCTGAAATCGGTATTAGAGATTTACCCTGTTTCGAAAAAAATAACTAAAAAATTATAAGGCGCGCATGTGTTTTTATGCATCCATATGTTACGGGCAAAGATTATGTGGAGAAGAATCAACATGAATAGGGATAGATTGGATTTAGTAGATGAAATAAGAACGTGACTATAACACGCACGGTATCGCGTTAGCGCTAACCAGCGATGCCCTCAATTTCCAAAAATGGAACCGCGTTCTTTTCCCCACGCGCGCTTAGAATTTCCGAAAAAGGTACTGCAGCCCACAACAACACCTTCGCCCCTGAACCCGTGGACAGCATAATGAAGAATCAAACGGAAAAAACTCACGAACAGCTGAAGGTGGAGAGAAAAATCAAGAACAAGTTGAGAAGAACTAGGTCCCATGCCCTAATCCAATGTAGAAAACAAACCCAGACCTATCCAAATCACAAACTTTGTAAGAAGTTTACATCCCACAAATTTATAATGCTATGTCAAATTCATAAAATAAAAAGAGCACAAACAAGCATATCAACTTGGAATTCATGCACTAATCTGCAGTTCTTTTCTCTCAGACCCCAAAATCCAACAAGTTACTTTGAAACATATAAAAATGAAATACATGTAAAAGTTGTAAAAGTTACTTCCTACTAACATGCAAGTTACTTTTAAAATTTGTGCGCTCATTTTGGATCTCTTACATGATATATTTTGTTAAGCGATTTTAGGTCCATTGCTGCCGTCACTGCAGCGGCGGCCTGATAGAACGGACCCTTTTGGAACTTTACCATCGACAGCGACAGATGAAATGAGACACATTCTTCATTTAATCAAACAAGTTCAGGCTTTCAGAGATTCTTTCTTTCATAAGGAAATGGATGAATCATCATTTGCAGAAAAGCTAAATACAACCATGAATCAGTTCTGAATCCATCCATCCATTCACACGTGCATGATCGATGCAGAATTGGATTATACAGGGACACAGATTGCGCATGCATGGAGAAGATAGACATATATTACTAACATTACTGCATATACATATTCCTTCTTCTAGCTAGTGAAGGAGAGGGGGCCAAATGAACAACATGAGGAGAGGAGGCATTGCTAATGCTAATAGTGTCTCATGGCATTATTGAAATATGCCAAAACAATAAATTGACAGACCCTCCCTAGGGGCCACTTTTGGCTAGCTTTCAGTTAGTAGATGTTACTTTCCCTAGCTGAGAAACAAACTTACATGATCATATTTGGCTTCTTGGTTATATGTAAGTTACTTTTGAAACATATAGAAGTTACTTTTAAAATATAAAAGTTGCTTCCCAGTAATACTTAAGTTTCTTTTAGTTTTATTGATCACTTTTTCATACTTGCAGGGGCATATCTAAAGTGGGTACTTTTAGTAATAATTTGGATAAAATTAAGCTTCCATACCCAAATCCTTTTAATTAGAAAGTTATGTATAATCCATCGCAAAGCTTAG